TGAGAGAGAGAGAGAGAGAGAGAGAGAGAGAGAGAGAGAGAGAGAGAGAGAGAGAGAGAGAGAGAGAGAGAGAAAGAGAGAGAGAGAGAGAGAATTCTTCTTCTTCCTCTTCTAAGTCCACCATCTCTTCTTCACCCTCTCGGTCGCTCTTCGTCTGTGTATGGTTGGGACCTGGCCCACTCTTCTGTGCATGGCGCCAGGCCCTTTCACACCTTGCAATGATGATGATGAACGTTGGGTCTGCACTTCGACTTTGATTGGTTGATCATTGGTATTCTAGCATTCCGCTGCGCTATCTGATACTGTGTGAAAAAGGTCGGTCTTTGTTCTGTTATGCACTATTACGGTGTCTAACAGTTTGGTGTCCCTCCTCTTCTTACACGTGTAACGCACCATGAGATGTCGTGTCAGTACCTAGTCTAGTCGGGACTTATATCCAAGTCTCTCGCTGTGTTACAAAATACCATTTTGCATGTATCAGGATGAACATTGCTTGTTGACATTTCATTCACACTGCATTGTCCATTTTTGTCTTTTTCATCACTTTGCATCCTTGGCTCTACGTTCATTGCCCCACTGGGCATGTAACACTTGGTGTTGGAGCTGCGCATGTGAATCAGGACAACCTGATCTACATCTGGACTTAACTGCCGAAAATAAAAAAAAAATATATTTCTTGGATTTCGTTTTCCCGCTATTCTGTTGTGGAAAATCGCTATAGCGCAACACCTGAAATTTTCGTTTTTCGTTTTCCTTCTGAAAATTCGAAATTTCGCTGTTGGAAATCCGGAATATCTTGTTTCTTTTTCTTGGACTTCGTTTTCCGCTATTCTGTTGTGGAATCGCTGTAGCGTAACACCTGAAATTTTCGTTTTTTCGTTTTCCTTCTGAAAATCCGGAATATTTTTTTCTCGTCCAAAATTTTGATTGCCTTCTTATTTCCCGTTATTCGGAAAGCCGGAATATCCGGTTATTTCCGAAATTCGTTTTCTGTTCAAAAACGATACGGGAAATCCCTCTGACAGTTGCCATTTTCCAAACTGCGCATACTCACATCTGAGTAATTCCAATTATCCTTCTTTCTTTTCGGAAGTTTATTCACAGTTCTGTGATTTTCACTATTTGATAATCATTGGCAGTCTGAAGTCGAAAGTTTTTTCTCATTTGTATTTCGCATTTCAAAGGGAATTGGGAGACCTACCGAACTTGCAAACAATTTTTTTTTTTGCAAAGTTCAAACTTTTCTTCTTGATTAGTGGCTCCTTATCTGGGCGATTTATTCCACCCGGCCCTCCCCACCTATGTTGTTGCCCCTCTGGTCTTATCTTCTCTATCTGTCTCCGGGTACCCCCTGCGGCAGCATGGGTGAGTTGCCACGTCAGCAGGCCACGTCAGCAGGCCACGTCAGCAGGCCACGTCAGCAGGCCACGTCAGCAGGCCACAGCAGCAGGGAGTGCCAGGACAGCAGTCCTCCGGCCTGATCAATGCTCATTCACTTACAAACAGCCGGCATGGATCATAAGTCCGGGGAAACGGACGAGGCCTATCAGGCCCGAGCAGAGATCAGCATCGGCCAAAAGTGTCCGTGGTTGCGGCAGCAACGCCAACCGACCAATCTAGCGAGGCCATGTCTGCCAATGAAGGGGACAGACTCGCAGCCGCCCGCGATGGTGGACGCCCCGGCAAAGGCCGAGGACGCGGCAAGATGAAGACAAACACCGCATTTATCCCCGCTTTGTCTGGGTCAAGATGTCTGAATATTCTGAAGAAGAGGGAGTATTGTGTAAGCCTCTTCCACTGTACTATGGTCCTTGGCAGGTTCTGAAGGTGGTAGGGGAGGATAAGTTTGGTCCTTCGTATGTGATTGACGTGCCGCCTCATCTGCGCGCGTATCCGGTCTTTCACGCGTCCAAATTGTTTCTTTTTTTTTTTTTTTTTTTTTTTTTTAAACAGAAAACACCCCCTCCGGTGTTAGTGGTGCTGTTTCCCCATATTGCTGTTGAAACTTCTTCCTTTCCGAGATCCTATGATTCCTCGTGCTACCAACGGTGGTCACGAAATAGACAGAATCGTTTCACATGAAGGAAAAGTGAGGAACAAACAGTACCAAGTTCACTTCCTATATCACCCGTTGGATGAGTTCCACTGGATGAACCAAAAAAAGTTGTTGAAGAATGCTCCCTGTGTTGTTAAGGCTTACCAACTACGGGTAGCTGATGGACAGAACTAAGTTTTCTGCAACACTCATTCCTTATGGTCATACCGCAGCTCTCTTTCTGATCTACGCTTGTGACGCATTTTGCAAGGACTCTGAATGAGTCACTCCCTTGAAGGGACCGCGCTCTTGACAGGGGGGTAGTGTAATGACCTGCCAAAACGCAGACTGAGAACACTGCTGATTTCTGGGTTTTGCCGCTGGAATGTATGCCTTGCTGAGATTGCCGCGTTGTGCTGAGTTTTCTAAGTTTGTGTGTGTGTGCGTGTTTGCTGGTCTTTGTGCCCGTCTGAGTGCACGTCTGCTTGATTGTGTGTGTGGCCCGACACGGCACTTGTGTGTTGTGAGG